AAATCCAAAGGCTCCATTTTAAGACAATTTTGTCAAAGATTCAATGTCACTGTGAAAAGTTACTTGGTTCTTGCACAGTGGCTAATTTAAAGATCTCTCTCCTTTTCTCTATCTGGTTATTATTAAAGTAACAAAAAAGTTTCCTAACTCCTAATTTACATAATTTTATCATGATAAAAAAAATGAAATCTAGTTTTCTATGAAGAACATCCTAAAAATGACGGCCTAAATACACAATTTTGAGATATACTAGATGTCTTCAGTTAAGAACAGTATTACCGACACAACCCAATTTGTATTTCTACAATGTTCAGCATACAGACTTCCAAAATATTTTACAGTATTGATTTTTATAATATAAAGCTGGAAGATTCTTTAGTGATTGTTTACCTCTAACTTTACGTGTCTGAAAAGCTGTTTGACCTTGGGTAAGTCGATTTTTTACACCTTGGTATTTTTTCATTTTTTGAAGGGGCTAAACCAGATGATCTTTACCATCCTTCCTAGTTCTAATGTTTCTCTAAAAAAGATAAGCCAAGTTTTATTGAAATGACTTACACAACCATATATAAAAATACAATCAAGAAGAAATGCAAAGGAAGGGAATTCATAAGGCCGAGCACCTATCTTGTATCAGGCCATACATACAAGTATCTCATTTAATACTCCAAATAACCTGCACATGCTAGGTTCTTTTTGGGGGGGAGTTGAGGGAGGTGGGGGGGGGCTCCTAAATCTATTTGTGTTTAGATGCTACAAAAATTTCCTATTCTTGTTTTTAAAGAAAAAGCTAACCATAAGAGACTTCACATGTATTAATAGTAACAAAGTGGCTGATAACCCCAATCCAAACTGGGTAGTGCAATCAAGGTAACATTTCAAATAAATGTACCTCATTTTTAATAAAACTTGGTATTTGACTCTTGAATGCAGAGTAAATGTTAGGACCTAGATAGGGCCTTAGAGATCATATAGTACAGTTTCCTCATTTTATAGGTGAAGCAACTAATATCAAAGAGTTTGTCCATTTTTCACTCAAATAAAATAGTGGCTACGAGTAGCAATTAAAATAGTGGCCAGGAGTAGATGTGTGGTGTCCACAC